CCTCAACGGTCCCCCCCCCCCCCCCCCAAAAAACTGATTGTTGTCGCTTCCCTTTCTACGTCACTTTACCAACTACCAACCTTTCCCTATTCCACCGGGCCTCTGAGGATCTCGTCTCCTGCACCCTTTTCACGGAGCATGTTGGTCGCTGCTCCTCTTACAACCATCTGAAGTTGTCGCTAACCCTCCCTACATACCTTTATCCGCAACCACCCCTCCAACATACTCACTGTCGTCTCTCTCCTCTACAATCCACAACCCATCACACCCCCCTTCCCAACCACGTCATCACTTGTCCACCAGCAGTCTTATCTCGCCTTGACGAAATACTAGTGTTGTTCTATTTTCAAGCCTTGGTTGTGACCCCGTTATTTTTTGTACAATAAAATATATGTTCCTTTTGGATTATGGGTATCAAATCTTTTTTCTCCATTGTGTCCTATTGAGTGTCATATTTTCATTTAATTATAATAAATTAAGATCCATTTTTTTTATATGTGTCGAGGTTTTTTTAGGTCTACCTCTACCTTTCTTAATATAAGCCGAATCTAAAACATCTACTCTCCTAATCGGTTCATCAGATGATCGGCGTTCAATGTGACCAAACCATTTAAGATGACTCTCTCTAATCTTGTTTGACACTGGAGCTACACTAACCCTTTCACGGATATATTTATTTTGCATTTTTCCTCTAAGTGTAAAGCCACTCATCCACCTAAGCAATCTCATCTTAGCAACACTTTACATTTATGATTTTATTTTATATGCCAACATTCTACACCATAAAACATTACTGGTCACACCACCATCTTATAAAATTTTCCTTCAAGTCTAAGCGGTACCTTTCTATCACACAATATGACAAATGTGTTGCTCAACTTCAACCATCCAACTTGAATTCTACTAATAACATCCCCATCTATAGGAGCATCACTTTGAACAATAAACCCTAGATATCTAAAACATTCACTCCTTTTAATGATTAAATCGTCCATTATTACAACTCTGACACTCGACCTACAACTACTAAAATTACATTCTAGCAAGTTGAAAGACCACCTTGAATTCTACTAACACCGTTTGAAAGACCACCATTTAAAATAAAAATAAAATTTATACTTCTTTTCATGTGAATTTGATAAAATTAGACCTTCAAGCCAGTTGATAATCCAATAATTGGTTATATGTGTGCGTGTATGTGAATTTAAATCCACTGAAACCCACAATGTCATCATACATAACACCACCACCACCACCACCAACAACAACAAAACCTTTATCCCACTTAGTGGGGTCAAATACATGAATCCTTTTCTCCATTGTGCCCTATTTAGTGTCATATTTTCATTTAATTCTAATAAATTAAGATCATTTTTTTATACAATATGCCCAAGTCTTTCTAGTTCTACCTCTGTTTTTCTTAACATAAGTCGAATCTAAAACATCTACTCTTCTAATCGAATCATCAGATGGTCAACGTTTAATGTGATCAAACCATCTAAGAAGACTCTAATTTTGTCTGTCGCTGGAGCTACACCAGCCCTATCACAGATATATTGTCTCGAAGTGTAAAGCCACTCATCCACCTAATCATTCTCATTTCGGTAACACTTAACTTAGTTTTATGTTTCTCTTTTAAAGTTCAATGCCATAGAGCATTGCAGGTCTCACCACCATCTTATAAAATTTTCCTTTCAGTCTAAGTGGTACTTTTCTATCACACAATAAGACTGAAGCATTGCTTCACCTCCACCTCAAACAAACAACTTGATATCTACTAATAACATCCCCATCAATATCACCGTCACTTTTAACAATAGACCTGAGATATCTAAAGCATTCACACCTTCTAATAATTTAATCACCCATAGTTAAATTTCTATCATTAGAGATGCTACTACTACTAAAATAGCATTTCATGTATCTAGTTTTAGTTCTACTCAAACGAAGGCCTTTGGACTCCAAGGTAGACCTCCATAATTGAAGTTTTCTTGAGCTTTTTGTCTCATCTTATCCACGAGAGGATGAAATCAACAAAAAACATACACCAAGGTACATCCTCCTATAAGTGTCTAATAAGACCATCCATAACTAAAGAAAATACATATGGGCTTAAAGTCGATCCCTAATGTAAATAAACAGAAATAGGAAAATATTTGGTCAACCCTCCTTCTGTTCGAACAAAAGTAATAGCTCTTGTATACATGTATTTAATGACTTGAATATAAGTTATATCAACACCTTTCTTCTCAAAATCTCTCCAAAGGATATCTCTTGGAACCTTATCGTAAGTTTTTTCTAAATCAATAAAAATCATATGTAGATCTTCCTTATTATCTCTGAACTTCTCCATCAAACCTCTCAATAATGGTATAGCTTCCATAGTAGACCTCCCCAACATAAATCCAAATTGATTATGAGAAATCTTTGTAATACGTCTTAACCTATGTTCAATTACCCTCTCCCATAATTTTAAAATATGACGCATCAACTTAATTCTTATATAATTTGCACACTCTTGTGCATCCCCTTTATTCTTAAAAATGGGGACCAAAATACTCTTCGTCCACTCTTCAAGCATCTTTTTAGTTTTTAAAATAATATTAAAGAGTTTAGTAAGCCAAGAAACATCCAAATCTCCTAAATATTTCCACACTTTAATTGGTATATCATCAGGTTCTACAGACTTCCTACCTTTGGTTTTCTTTAAAGCCCCCTCAACTTCTTTTTTTACTAATGCGACGGTAAAAATAAAATATTTAATTATTTTTAACGATATTAAAATCACTAAGATCGATCGTATTTTCTGAAACTTCATTAAAAAGTTTATCAAAATAACTAACCCACCTATTTTTAATATCTTTTTTCTAGGAAAAGTACTTTTTGATTTTTCAAATTTAATATACTTAAGTTAAATCTTTGCTTTTCTTCTATCTTTGTTTAGCTAGTTTATACATATATTTATCACACTCTTTAATATCTAATCTATTATAAAGATCACTAAAAGCAGAATTTCTAGCGTCGCTGATTGTTTTATTAGACTCCCTACGGGCCGTGTGATAATTTTTGGAGTTCTCTAAGCTTTTACATAACACCATAGCTAAAAAATCAAATTGTAGCATATTTGGTTAAAATTAGGAACACTTGCAACAATTGATGATGAAAGAATTCAGCGAGTGGAAAAAATTAGGCATCACATTGGTACAAGACAATTTTTTTCTGAAATTTAATAGCTTTGAATAGAACAAATACAATGCCGAACATACATAGAATTTCAAGGGAACCTGAAATTTTATTAAGCCAAAAGTATCCTCTACAAGCCTGAGTTCGTTGTATTTGTAAACATCTAACTGAAGTCACTGCTTCTCAAATTTGGATCGATTCTCATGTCTGGAAGTGTAATAAATAGCGCAAATTAGAAGTCTTGGATTTCAAATTATCCAAAAGTGTGAAGTTTCGATCATTTGAATTCAATAGAAACTCCCAAAAACCATTGCCTTATACTGTTCATAAAACATAATATTATAAAAAAAAACACAGATTCCAGAATACAACGTTTTCAAAGCTTAACTGGCCCGCAGAACTCAAGAAGCAAAACATTTAAAATAAAACAGATGAAACGACAACGTAAACAGAAATACATCCAATAGCCTACTGACCTTGCCTAAATTAACAAAACACGAGAATCTGGTGATTTCACGCATTTAAGGGATGTAAAGGAAGATAATTGTTGTGATGTGATCGTGACTTATCAAGAGCTCTTTGTAGTCTGATTACATCTTCTAATCCCTTAATCCAGCATTTTTTTTTTTTTGAGCCGTATGAAGAAATTTGGAAACAGCAAAAAAGTTGTCAAGTTAATTTCTTCTCAGCTTTCCTCTAAAAATGTTTTAGACTTCAACCTTAAATTAATCAATTGCTGTTGTCAAAGGGAACAACGAATAATTGATAAGGCAACAAGACTTGCATGCAAATGAAAATATCAATACGCATCCAAAAAACAAAATATTAATATATTTTCATGAATATTGATCAGAAAAGAAAAAAAAATTACTGAAATATTACTGAATGGGCTTTCTTTTTGCCAAAAATAGACATACTTTCAGCTCCACGGAGAGCAGCAGCAGTATCAGTTGTGAAGAAAGGATTGCCAGTTCCAGCAGCAAATATAACAACTCTTCCTTTCTCCAAATGCCTAACTGCTCTTCTCCTTATGTATGGCTCAGCAACTTCTGACATACGGAATGCTGTCTGGACACGTGTTGGTATACCAATGCTCTCCATTGTTGCTTGCAAAAATATTGCATTCATGACTGTCGCAAGCATGCTGAAAAACAATGACGAGCATTAGCAACTATCAAAACTAATATCAGCCTCTCAGAATAATCGTTTCAATCCTTACAAGAGGGTGCATTAAACTTCAAAATTGAAATATCATCCCATGGAAGATCTCTTGATAAATGCAAACAACTATGATCCCAAGAAATTATATTTTACAAGGTAATTTTACAAATTTTTAGTAAACAGCAGGTGATGAAGCAAACAAACTTGCAATGCAAAAGCATAAAACTTTGTTTAAATTCAACATTTGTAATGTAGTTTGCAGATGGTAGATAGAAAAATTAGGAAATATAAGAGAACTCAAGTAGGTCTTTCTTGGCGAGCTATAATCACATTCAGCTTTAAATAATAAAGCTGTTGGTTAGGTCTGCTTGTGTCCCGTGATGCTAAAAACCAAACAATTTGGAGCTCACAAAATGAGATGAAGTGCTGAGGGGTAGGCATGGAAGTCAAGTTATAGACATCAATTCAAAATGTGAAATCTATGATGGTTCATATAGGCTAACATCAGAATTCACATACCTGAAATATTTTATGTGATGTAGATGACTCGAGGGAAGAATTACCTAATACGAAGTGTAATATACTTTCATAAGAAAAAAATTTAAGTATTTACATATCACAAGTAATCAATTAATTCAACAACTCATTTTTCTTGAATGAAAAATTTTAAAAAAAAAAGTTAAAATATAAAATAATTTTAGAATCAACAACTCATTTTTTCTTGAATGAAAATAAAAAAAGTTAAAATAAAAGATAGATAATTTGAAAATATAATTATCAAAAGTTTCCAAAATTTTCACCAAAAAAAGTAATAATTAAAATCATCAAACAAACTAAATAATTAATGTCACTTTTTATCAAAATCAATAGTAGTAAACAAATCAATAACAAATTATAGAGATAAAACATAAAATTACCAAAGCAAAATGAGGTCTCGCAATGTTAGGAGATTTCCTCAAAATTTGATAGTAGCACTTGTATTGCACTCAAGAAATTTATAGGAAAGTACCAATCAGCATTCTTAATTAGGATGGAATTTATTTCCTTTCCTCTGAATATATTTCATGAATTGTGTTTCCATTTCTAATTTTTTTTCTTTTTGGAGGGATTCCTATTTTGATTCTTTTCACTTATATATATATATATATATATATAGTAGGGAGTAAGCGATTTGAGAGATCGAGAAATAAAATTATGTCCAGAATTTTGCATGATATCAGAGCAGTAGAATCCTCTTTTGCTTTCGTTCCCACCCGCAGTTAAAGTGGCTGCTCATCATCAAAGTTGAAGAGTGTCTACACTTGTCTCTGTCTCCAACAACGGCTTCATCTAGCGAGTCGCAGAAGAACAAAATTTATGAGGTCGATGACCTGATCCAAACTTGTGCGCACCATCAAAGAGCTCTCTAACGCTATCTTCATCACCATCAACGACGACATATCCATAGGATTCTCCAACTTTGTCTTCGACATCAACCCTAACCTCCATCTTCGTCTCTTATACTCAAGTTTTGTACAATGCATTTATCTCGCATAGATACGTTCCCTCTGATACTCCGTTAGAATAGAGCACAGATCATTCTAATAGAACGCTAGGTTTGAACAATGGTAAGGTCGATTCGCCTCATGCGATCGATTTCCGTAGATTGTTCGAACACTCCATTCGATTTTAGCAGATCATTTCTTCTGAAGATTGTTTCTCCCTTCGGTTGACAAATTCAGCGATCGATTTAACTTGCGATCTATTTGGCTTGCCTAGCCAACCTCTCACTTGTCACCAGTTTACAAATTCTCTCACCCTATTCCTCTAGTTCATGTTCTCTCGTCCAGTCGAGTGGTCGAATTAAGGATCCTGGTCCCTCTAGTTCATGTTTACTTATCCAATTGAGCAATCGAACTAATGATCCTCCTTTTGCTTCTGTGCAAGCATCAAGTCTTCCCGATTTGAGCTTCACAATCTTATCATGGCCAAACATGTAATGGCCTCACTCTTTTTCCCCGAAAGTCACTTCCATTAAAATTCTGCCAATGTAGTGCCTGTTGAAAGTCAAGTCATCTTGAATCATTGTTTCTTTGTCATCCAAATTTTGCATAAATGGAAAAAATGTTTCCAAATTTATTTATCACTAAAAAATCTAATATTTATCAATGTGAAACTTGTCAATTTGCAAAACATACCTGATACATATACATTAAATTGCAATACAAGTTTTCACATTTTTTTTCTATAATTCAAAGTGTTATACGAGGAACCTCGCAAGTAAATAATATAAATAGGTTACGGTGGTCTGTATCATTCATATATTATATCATAAGAACAACATGGAAATTTCTTATAAAAGAAAAATCTAAAACAACCATCATATTTAAATTATTTCATTTGTCCATGATCTTTATCAATTACAAAGCAAAACTTAAATTATCAAAACTGAAAAATGTTAAGGAATACTTTGTCGTGATTGGTTCGAAACCGCGGAAGACGAGCCGCGATCGGGGCCGCGGATAGGCGTAGCTCAACGAAGCTCTACGAAGACAACAATAGACAAAACAGAGGAGCGAAACTCCCCTTACTTCTTCGAGCATGAAAATGTTGTAGCAGAGGCTAGGGCTCGCTGTGAGGCGAAACCCTAGCAGAGCCTCCTACGAAAACGAGCCACATACACAGAGAAGAAATAAACAGATATATATATATATATATATATATATATATTGAAACCCTGGTTTGATTCCTTCGGCTTTCAATCCATCCTCTTCGAAAGTGTGTTTTCGCACTTGACGAAGACGACGGACTTTGCCTTTGCATTCGTCGTCTTTTGGACTTTTCTGCGCCTTTGCATTCGTCATCTTTGCCTTTGCACTCGACGACGACGGTGAACAACATTTGGACCTTCGCTTCTGCGGCGTCTTCACGCCGCTGCTTCCTTTATGTGTGTGGTCGTATTGCGGTTTAGACTTTGTCGAGCTGTGAATTCGTTCTGCGCAGTCGTCATCTGTGGTTACTGTCTGCGATTCCTCTCTTCTGCGCAGCTGTTGACCTCATTTTTGTGAGGTCTTTCCTTCTTCTTCCTAGAGCATAGGATCTAGCTCTAGAAGTTTCCTATTGACTATCTTAGAAAAGCAGCATTGAAATCTGTCCCCTTAGAAATTTCAAAACACTTCATATTTTCTTGTGATGTCTAGCATTTATGGTCTGAAAACCATCGTCTTAAGAACGAGCGATTAGGAGTCATTGTGTGGAGACTCAAGAAGAAGTTCCCAATAGAACTTCAAGCCCTAGAAAAACCTTATCACGATTTTATCGTCACACACACACACCAAATGCACAAAATTCACTAAGTCACACGAAATTCACTAAGTCACACGAGGTCACGAGGTAGGACTTCAATTAAGCCCAAAGGATGGGTGAAAATACAAATTTCTCCAAACGACCTCCGATGACAAATTGGATTGCGCCAACGTGTCCAGGACACCAATTTTAGTAGAAAAAGACACTAATCTTGTCATATTTTCAACATGAGAAAATTTACACGCAAATCAACAAATTTGTCAAAACGACCTCTAACGGCGAAACAGACCGCGTCGGCACGTCTGGAATGTCAAAGTTACCCAAAAATGATACCAATTTGTTTATGTTTAGACGCACGAATAAAACACAAATTCAATTTTTATTTTTCAAAATACTAAATACTTTTTATAAATTTTACCCCTAAATTATAATCACATTAAACCCTAAACCTTATTTACGGCTCCACCCGCACCCCTTGTCCTTGTTCGACCCATTCACGGGTTCGAACAGGGCTTACGCTCATCTCGCTCCCTCTCACCCGTGCCCTAGGTTCCACGGTGGATCCACGCGGCTCCCGTCTTCTTCCCCGTCTCTTCCCCTTCTTTACGTGGCACGGCTCGCCTCCTTGCTCCCCCTCGACTTTTTGGCTCTCCAATTGCAAGAGACAAGTTGGTCGACGCTCCTTCTACATGAGGCTTTACGCTCTCCTCCTTTATGGTGACGCTTCATTCCTTTCCCTCGATTCGTTGGTTAGGGCGGCAAAAGTGGCGCTCTCTTTTCTATTCCCTGTCTATTGACTTTCTAGTGGTGTTGTTTTTTTTCTTTTGTGGGGGGTGCTGTTGAAGAGACTACGTTCTTTTTCTCTTTGCTGCCCGAGAGACTGTTTTCCTTCTTTTTTACTGTGGGAGGTTTTAGGGGAGAAAGTTCTACTAACATCTTATCTAAAATTTGATTTTCGTGTGTTGGGGTGTAGAGCATCCATTGGTGGTTGTTTCTCAAAACTTTCAAGAAGAAGGCTCTCTCGAAATTTCTGTTTGACTAGCTTTTGGTGCACTGGAAGTTTAAAGGATTTGTCGGTTGCTCCTTTTTTTGAAGTTCTTAGGAAGAAGATTTCTTTGGGAGGCACTTTATTGGATCTTTCTTACATTTTTTTGCATTAAGTCGGCATTAAGAGGTATTATTCTCCTCTCCTCTATTCTTGCAATATTTTGGATGGCATAAAAACATTTCCCATCTCATGTGGAAGCAAGATTTGGGTATGTTTTAAGATTTAAGCATGAAATAGTTCCTATAAACGTTAAAATGTAGCATGCTATGGTTGCTTTCTCTTCTTTTTATGCTTAAGACATATGGTATGCATGTTATGGAAGTTTTAGTTGCTATTTATGGGATACATGTTAAGATTAGCTTCAAAGTTGGATGATATGTTGGATCTAAAAAGGCATGTATATTTATAGATTTTTGTTATTTACTCCTATTTGAAACATATGTTGGAATAATATTTTGAGATATCAGGTTCCAAGAGGAAAATTTTCTCCGATTTTAGCCCATTTGGAAGGCTTGGCTTTGGTTTCATGTTGGCTGGAAATTGCATCACATCTAGTCCATTTAGAGGGTTCAGTTTTGGCTCTATTAAGATGGAATCATGAATGGAAATACTTCTCTATTTTCCCCATGTGATATGCTCGATTTTAGTTA